GGGGTGGGGGAGTGTGGGACATCTTAGTTTATAGAGGGGGGGGGGGGCAGGTCACAATTATGGAAAGCCTTAAAAGGTTTAAGTTTAACCATAAGAAAGATTTATATTTCCCGTCAGGCTGGTACACGTCCAGCAGGTTGGCAGAGACGTTGTGCCGGGTACTTCTGCACTCCGGAAAAGATCTTACAGTGTGGGTCTAATAGTGGGAGTTGTAACAAGTCAGTTTACCTTTATTGCTATCACATAGGGGCTATCAATCCCCCTATGTGATAGCACAGATACAGTGACAGGTCCTGTTTATGGAGACATCAGGGGTCTATTAGACCCCTAATGTCACCTATAGACCCCAAAGATGCCAATGAAGCACAGATCTGCTTCTCCAGCTTCTTCTCCAGCCACAGCAGCCATAAAAAAACTACAGATTGAAACTGGAAGTGATGTAATACACATGAGTTCCAGGTCCAGTGATTGGAGGGGAGCAAGGCTGCTGGACATGTGCTGTGCTCCCTCAGATCCTGCCACAGAGACCTGACGTGCTGGTCCCAGACCCGTACAGATGGCAGCAGAGCCTGGGATAGCCACTCCCCAGTACCATACAAGTGATCCACTTCCCAGTACCATACAAGTGACCCACTCCCCAGTACCATACAAGTGACCCACTCCCCAGTACCATACAAGTGATCCACTTCCCAGTACCATACAAGTGACCCACTCCCCAGTACCATACAAGTGACCCACTCCCCAGTACCATACAAGTGACCCTCTCCCCAGTACCATACAAGTGACCCACTCCCCAGTACCATACAAGTGATCCACTTCCCAGTACCATACAAGTGACCCACTCCCCAGTACTACCATACAAGTGACCCACTCCCCAGTACCATACAAGTGACCCTCTCCCCAGTACCATACAAGTGACCCACTCCCCAGTACCATACAAGTGACCCACTCCCCAGTACCATACAAGTGACCCACTCCCCAGTACCATACAAGTGACCCACTCCCCAGTACCATACAAGTGACCCACTCCCCAGTACCATACAAGTGACCCACTCCCCAGTACCATACAAGTGACCCACTCCCCAGTACCATACAAGTGACCCACTCCCCAGTACCATACAAGTGACCCACTCCCCAGTACCATACAAGTGACCCACTCCCCAGTACCATACAAGTGACCCACTCCCCAGTACCATACAAGTGACCCACTCCCCAGTACCATACAAGTGACCCACTCCCCAGTACCATACAAGTGACCCACTCCCCAGTACCATACAAGTGACCCACTCCCCAGTACCATACAAGTGACCCACTCCCCAGTACCATACAAGTGACCCACTCCCCAGTACCATACAAGTGACCCACTCCCCAGTACCATACAAGTGACCCACTCCCCAGTACCATACAAGTGACCCACTCCCCAGTACCATACAAGTGACCCACTCCCCAGTACCATACAAGTGACCCACTCCCCAGTACCATACAAGTGACCCACTCCCCAGTACCATACAAGTGACCCACTCCCCAGTACCATACAAGTGACCCACTCCCCAGTACCATACAAGTGACCCACTCCCCAGTACCATACAAGTGACCCACTCCCCAGTACCATACAAGTGACCCACTCCCCAGTACCATACAAGTGACCCACTCCCCAGTACCATACAAGTGACCCACTCCCCAGTACCATACAAGTGACCCACTCCCCAGTACCATACAAGTGACCCACTCCCCAGTACCATACAAGTGACCCACTCCCCAGTACCATACAAGTGACCCACTCCCCAGTACCATACAAGTGACCCACTCCCCAGTACCATACAAGTGACCCACTCCCCAGTACCATACAAGTGACCCACTCCCCAGTACCATACAAGTGACCCACTCCCCAGTACCATACAAGTGACCCACTCCCCAGTACCATACAAGTGACCCACTCCCCAGTACCATACAAGTGACCCACTCCCCAGTACCATACAAGTGACCCACTCCCCAGTACCATACAAGTGACCCACTCCCCAGTACCATACAAGTGACCCACTCCCCAGTACCATACAAGTGACCCACTCCCCAGTACCATACAAGTGACCCACTCCCCAGTACCATACAAGTGACCCACTCCCCAGTACCATACAAGTGACCCACTCCCCAGTACCATACAAGTGACCCACTCCCCAGTACCATACAAGTGACCCACTCCCCAGTACCATACAAGTGACCCACTCCCCAGTACCATACAAGTGACCCACTCCCCAGTACCATACAAGTGACCCACTCCCCAGTACCATACAAGTGACCCACTCCCCAGTACCATACAAGTGACCCACTCCCCAGTACCATACAAGTGACCCACTCCCCAGTACCATACAAGTGACCCACTCCCCAGTACCATACAAGTGACCCACTCCCCAGTACCATACAAGTGACCCACTCCCCAGTACCATACAAGTGACCCACTCCCCAGTACCATACAAGTGACCCACTCCCCAGTACCATACAAGTGACCCACTCCCCAGTACCATACAAGTGACCCACTCCCCAGTACCATACAAGTGACCCACTCCCCAGTACCATACAAGTGACCCACTCCCCAGTACCATACAAGTGACCCACTCCCCAGTACCATACAAGTGACCCACTCCCCAGTACCATACAAGTGACCCACTCCCCAGTACCATACAAGTGACCCACTCCCCAGTACCATACAAGTGACCCACTCCCCAGTACCATACAAGTGACCCACTCCCCAGTACCATACAAGTGACCCACTCCCCAGTACCATACAAGTGACCCACTCCCCAGTACCATACAAGTGACCCTCTCCCCAGTACCATACAAGTGACCCACTCCACAGTAACATACATGGGCCCACTCCCCAGTACCATACAAGTGACCCACTCCCCAGTACCATACAAGTGACCCACTCCCCAGTACCATACAAGCGATCGGGGCAACTCTATAGCCTCCTGAACGCTTGTATGCCACAGCCTTGGGCGGCTGTTAACAATGTGTATAGTTTCCCGCTTGTGCGCGTGCAGGGGCGAGGGGAAAGGATGTTTAAAAACAGCCTCCTGCCATCAGAAGGTAGGGAAGAAGATTGAAGAGTGTAGTGTGTGTCTTCTGCAGTATAAATGATAAAGTTCTGCTTTAAAAATGAAAGTTTGGGTGAGTTTCATTGTGACATGACATAGGAGAGGAAATATCGGAGAGTCACCAGCAGGTGGCAGTGTTTCTCCACACAAGAAAATGCTACAGAAATGGATACAAAGGGGTCTATTCACGAAGCTGCCGAAGGATCTGGCCGTAGCTTCGGCCGATCCTTCGGCTAGCTTCGGCCCGACGGACCCCTTCGGTTCAGGAGAACCGAGGGGGTGCTGTACGGGCTATTCACAATAGCCCGTACAGCTCCCGATCCCGGCCGAGGCCTGAAGTGAATAGCCGAACGGTGTTCACCTCACTTCACTTCTGATCGGTCATTCACTCGGCTGCCCTCGGCAGCTTTGTTAATAGACCCCATTCGTATCTATGACCTGGAAACATCGTTCCATCGTTCTATTGTTCCATCATTGCATACTTCCATCCTATCATACATTGATAGATACGATCAGACCAGTGATCGGTATTGGAGACACGATTACAGTGCTGGGAACAGAATACTATAGTATCTCATATCTCTCATTCATACATTATACAATTATTGTGCCAACGTACCAACGTACTGATATGAGGCCCAGAGTTCCTTTTAATGTTTAAACATACACACTATATTGCCAAAAGTATTGGGACGCCCCTCCAAATCATGTGATTCCGGTGTTCCTCCAATCCCCTCCATGGCCCCCGGTGTGTAGGATGAGGCAAATTCAGATTCACAGTGATGATTAAACCCAACCTGTCACAGCTGAGATAATCCAACCCGAACATAAGATGTAATTAATAATTGAGCGCATTCAGGAAAAAACGGCATGCCAAAGTGATCAGCAGACCGGGAGCTACAGCCAGCTGACGTTACATTCAGATCTCCATATTTGCTAAAATAAAGTCAGACTACTTCCCATAATTCCTGAGCCTCTTTCTGGGTCAGAGTGGTTGTCCATCACAATAAAGGACCAAGCAGAAGGCTCTGGATGTGGGAGGGGGTGGAGCCAAGCATGGGTGGGGGGTTTGGAGTGGCTCCAAGCTTGTCTTGAAGGAAACTGCCCATCACAATAAAGGGCCAACCAGAAGGCTCTGTATGTGGGAGGGGGTGGAGCCAAGCGTGAGTAGGGGGTTTGGAGTGGCTCCAGGCTTGTCTTGAAGGAAACTGCCCATCACATTAAAGGACCAAGCAGAAGGCTCTGTATGTGGGAGAGGGTGGAGCCAAGCTTGAGTGGGGACTTTGGAGTGGCCCCAAGCTTGTCTTGAAGGAAACTGCCCATCACAATAAAGGGCCAACCAGAAGGCTCTGTATGTGGGAGGGGGTGGAGCCAAGCGTGAGTAGGGGGTTTGGAGTGGCTCCAGGCTTGTCTTGAAGGAAACTGCCCATCACATTAAAGGACCAACCAGAAGGCTCAGGATTTGGGAGGGAGTGGAGCCAAGCTTGAGTGGGGACTTTGGAGTGGCCCCAAGCTTCTCTTGAAGGAAACTGCCCATCACAATAAAGGGCCAACCAGAAGGCTCTAGATTTGGGAGGGGGTGGAGCCAAGCTTGAGTGGGGACTTTGGAGTGGCCCCAAGCTTGTCTTGAAGGAAACTGCCCATCACATTAAAGGACCAACCTTGAAGGAACATGCAGCGGCCTGTATATCTGAATCTACTGATCACATGGGGTGAAGTTGACCTCGGCCCCTCATCGTACGTCTAACCGCCTTCTCATTGGTGAGGAGCTTCCGCTTTTGGTGTAAACATTCTTGTCTCTTCGCCTAGAATGGCGTCTCTACTAATTGTATGTCCGTCATCCAGGTGGGGCGAGTCCTGAAAATCCCGGTAATAAAGTTCCTCCTCCACTCGGCTTCGTACCTGTGGTTCCTGATTTTCCTCCTGGTGGAGTCCATCACCATGGAGAAGAGGCACGACATATACGAGGGCCGGAACCAAACCATCTGGCAGAACTCGCTACACATGATCTGGGTTGCCGGTCAGTTCTCCATTGGTTCTATGTTGGGTCCATCTGGGGAATCCTCCATTGGGGACCAGGAAACAAATAATGTTCCCCGCTCAGAATGTGGACTTGCAAACTCAAGATCCTTAAACGGGAAGTCCACCGTAGACTTACTGTATGAACATGGAACAGCCATTTACCACATGGACCTGGATAGATGTGCGGCACCGAGTTTGAATTCTGTCCAGGGTCCAGTTGTCCAGCAAGCAGTATTGAAAACCGACTGATATTTACTGGTGACACCATACAACTCATGGTGTCACTCAGCCCCCCCCACAGTATTGTCAGTTCAGAGTGCAGGGTGCCACGGCCTGAGGATAGTACTGTGAGTGTTACTGTGAGTACTGTGCAGAGCATCAAGGACTGTGGATAATACTGTGAGTACAGGGCGTGAAGGACTGAGGACAGTACTGTGAGTACAGGGAGTGAAGGACTGAGGACAATACTGTGAGTACAGGGCGTGAAGAGTGAGGACAGTACTCTGAGTACAGGGCGTGAAGGAGTGAGGACAGTACTGTGAGTACAGGGCGTGAAGAGTGAGGACAGTACTCTGAGTACAGGGCGTGAAGGAGAGAGGACAGTACTGTGAGTACAGGGCGTGAAGAGTGAGGACAGTACTCTGAGTACAGGGCGTGAAGGAGAGAGGACAGTACTGTGAGTACAGGGCGTGAAGAGTGAGGACAGTACTCTGAGTACAGGGCGTGAAGGAGAGAGGACAGTACTGTGAGTACAGGGCGTGAAGAGTGAGGACAGTACTCTGAGTACAGGGCGTGAAGGAGAGAGGACAGTACTGTGAGTACAGGGCGTGAAGAGTGAGGACAGTACTCTGAGTACAGGGCGTGAAGGAGAGAGGACAGTACTGTGAGTACAGGGCGTGAAGAGTGAGGACAGTACTCTGAGTACAGGGCGTGAAGGAGAGAGGACAGTACTGTGAGTACAGGGCGTGAAGAGTGAGGACAGTACTCTGAGTACAGGGCGTGAAGGAGAGAGGACAGTACTGTGAGTACAGGGCGTGAAGAGTGAGGACAGTACTCTGAGTACAGGGCGTGAAGGAGAGAGGACAGTACTGTGAGTACAGGGCGTGAAGAGTGAGGACAGTACTCTGAGTACAGGGCGTGAAGGAGAGAGGACAGTACTGTGAGTACAGGGCGTGAAGAGTGAGGACAGTACTCTGAGTACAGGGCGTGAAGGAGAGAGGACAGTACTGTGAGTACAGGGCGTGAAGAGTGAGGACAGTACTCTGAGTACAGGGCGTGAAGGAGAGAGGACAGTACTGTGAGTACAGGGCGTGAAGAGTGAGGACAGTACTCTGAGTACAGGGCGTGAAGGAGAGAGGACAGTACTGTGAGTACAGGGCGTGAAGAGTGAGGACAGTACTCTGAGTACAGGGCGTGAAGGAGAGAGGACAGTACTGTGAGTACAGGGCGTGAAGAGTGAGGACAGTACTCTGAGTACAGGGCGTGAAGGAGAGAGGACAGTACTGTGAGTACAGGGCGTGAAGAGTGAGGACAGTACTCTGAGTACAGGGCGTGAAGGAGAGAGGACAGTACTGTGAGTACAGGGCGTGAAGAGTGAGGACAGTACTCTGAGTACAGGGCGTGAAGGAGAGAGGACAGTACTGTGAGTACAGGGCGTGAAGAGTGAGGACAGTACTCTGAGTACAGGGCGTGAAGGAGAGAGGACAGTACTGTGAGTACAGGGCGTGAAGAGTGAGGACAGTACTCTGAGTACAGGGCGTGAAGGAGAGAGGACAGTACTGTGAGTACAGGGCGTGAAGAGTGAGGACAGTACTCTGAGTACAGGGCGTGAAGGAGAGAGGACAGTACTGTGAGTACAGGGCGTGAAGAGTGAGGACAGTACTCTGAGTACAGGGCGTGAAGGAGAGAGGACAGTACTGTGAGTACAGGGCGTGAAGAGTGAGGACAGTACTCTGAGTACAGGGCGTGAAGGAGAGAGGACAGTACTGTGAGTACAGGGCGTGAAGAGTGAGGACAGTACTCTGAGTACAGGGCGTGAAGGAGAGAGGACAGTACTGTGAGTACAGGGCGTGAAGAGTGAGGACAGTACTCTGAGTACAGGGCGTGAAGGAGAGAGGACAGTACTGTGAGTACAGGGCGTGAAGAGTGAGGACAGTACTCTGAGTACAGGGCGTGAAGGAGAGAGGACAGTACTGTGAGTACAGGGCGTGAAGAGTGAGGACAGTACTCTGAGTACAGGGCGTGAAGGAGAGAGGACAGTACTGTGAGTACAGGGCGTGAAGAGTGAGGACAGTACTCTGAGTACAGGGCGTGAAGGAGAGAGGACAGTACTGTGAGTACAGGGCGTGAAGAGTGAGGACAGTACTCTGAGTACAGGGCGTGAAGGAGAGAGGACAGTACTGTGAGTACAGGGCGTGAAGAGTGAGGACAGTACTCTGAGTACAGGGCGTGAAGGAGAGAGGACAGTACTGTGAGTACAGGGCGTGAAGAGTGAGGACAGTACTCTGAGTACAGGGCGTGAAGGAGAGAGGACAGTACTGTGAGTACAGGGCGTGAAGAGTGAGGACAGTACTCTGAGTACAGGGCGTGAAGGAGAGAGGACAGTACTGTGAGTACAGGGCGTGAAGAGTGAGGACAGTACTCTGAGTACAGGGCGTGAAGGAGAGAGGACAGTACTGTGAGTACAGGGCGTGAAGAGTGAGGACAGTACTCTGAGTACAGGGCGTGAAGGAGAGAGGACAGTACTGTGAGTACAGGGCGTGAAGAGTGAGGACAGTACTCTGAGTACAGGGCGTGAAGGAGAGAGGACAGTACTGTGAGTACAGGGCGTGAAGAGTGAGGACAGTACTCTGAGTACAGGGCGTGAAGGAGAGAGGACAGTACTGTGAGTACAGGGCGTGAAGAGTGAGGACAGTACTCTGAGTACAGGGCGTGAAGGAGAGAGGACAGTACTGTGAGTACAGGGCGTGAAGAGTGAGGACAGTACTCTGAGTACAGGGCGTGAAGGAGAGAGGACAGTACTGTGAGTACAGGGCGTGAAGAGTGAGGACAGTACTCTGAGTACAGGGCGTGAAGGAGAGAGGACAGTACTGTGAGTACAGGGCGTGAAGAGTGAGGACAGTACTCTGAGTACAGGGCGTGAAGGAGAGAGGACAGTACTGTGAGTACAGGGCGTGAAGAGTGAGGACAGTACTCTGAGTACAGGGCGTGAAGGAGAGAGGACAGTACTGTGAGTACAGGGCGTGAAGAGTGAGGACAGTACTCTGAGTACAGGGCGTGAAGGAGAGAGGACAGTACTGTGAGTACAGGGCGTGAAGAGTGAGGACAGTACTCTGAGTACAGGGCGTGAAGGAGAGAGGACAGTACTGTGAGTACAGGGCGTGAAGAGTGAGGACAGTACTCTGAGTACAGGGCGTGAAGGAGAGAGGACAGTACTGTGAGTACAGGGCGTGAAGAGTGAGGACAGTACTCTGAGTACAGGGCGTGAAGGAGAGAGGACAGTACTGTGAGTACAGGGCGTGAAGAGTGAGGACAGTACTCTGAGTACAGGGCGTGAAGGAGAGAGGACAGTACTGTGAGTACAGGGCATGAAGGAGTGAGGACAGTACTGTGAGTACAGTGTCCCCGGTTGCTAAGAGCTCGTAGCCTCAGGTGGTGAATACCTTAGGGACAGCCCTGCACAGGAGAGTCCCCCCTTTTATTTGTATCGGTCATTATGAATAGGGGGGGAGGGTAAATCTTCGTTCATTAGTTCTAGTGACGTATGTCTGAGAGAGGCATTCCCCCCTCACTATGAGATTTCCTTAGAGACAGGAAGTGAAGATAAATCTACCCGACATGATGACCAAAACATTCCAGGGAACTTCCCCTTCCCGGCCCTTTCCAAAAATTTAAAAAATAATATGTCTTTGCTTTATATACAAATCGTTGTAATACCTTAAAGTGACCCCGTTGCTAGTATAGAATAGGACAGGAGGCGCTGGCGAGCGTGTCCCCCCC